GCACCAAATAAATATTGACTATTCCAGTTATTACATTTTACTACCCTGTATTCATGTAGACATTTGCTTTGTATTTTAACCCACATTGTTACCTTTCGGACTTGAAATCCCAAACCTGTCTCTCATGTTTATGGAAGAATCTGACTTTCTGCAGTTCAAAGCAAGCCATTTTCCTGCTTCCCCAGGCACTCATGATGAGCACTAAAGGGTACAATACTCCACCCACTTATGTTGGTGATCCGTTTCCATGAGGCTTCATCTTATTTCTTTAGTTCATATGAAATATGGCTCAAAGAAAAGACTATCTCATTTATGGCCTTTCTCTTTTTTAAGTTAGGAGATTTGTTTGTATTATTTAAAATGTGTTTCCTCATTTTTATATACTATGGGCCCGACCCAAATCAAATCATCAGTTTCTAGGCTTTCTTGCCCAAGACTCCCCAGAGGCCCTTTCTCCATATTTCGGTTCTACTCCCTTCTGCCCTGCACTTCTTTCTGTTGCTGCACTCTGTGGAGTATCAGACGCTGTCCTGTAATGGTTGGGTTGGGATAGCCTGAGACAGCAGTCTGGTTGTCAGGGATGTCCATCTAGAAAAATATCAGTATGTGCAAGGAGGGAAGAAAGAAATGAAACTCACGGGCCAAGCTTCACCATTATTTCTCCTTCTGAAGTAAATAAATATGACCTGATTTCAGGAACCCATGCTTCAGTCCAGGTTCATAGTAGGCTAATGGGCAGCTAAAGGGACAATACAGTTTTGGACTAAGGTAGCATGTAAATTATGATTTAAAAAATCTGTATCCTGTGGTTTTCCTTTGACTGCTCCACGGTTAATCCTCTGAAAAAAACCTTAGTGTTGAAAAAATTACTGGCTAGAGAAGAGAGAAGTTTTGAGAATTCAAGTAGACCAGAGGATTCTAGGGTCATTGCTACTTTGCAGAGGAACGACTCATCATTTTCTGGCCATAGTTTGACACTGGTGATATAACAAGATCCGGCTTCTCCTCTGTTTTCTTCAATTCCTTCAGAGGAGAGTTTTCACCTCCCGTTTAGTGTTTTTAAGGCACTTGGCTCATTAGCATTGTGTGCTTTTTGTCCTATGCCTTATGTAACTAGAAGTTATTTTTATGCCAGAATACATTAATGAAGAAAGTACCACCAAGCCTACAGTTCTTCCTTTTGGTTGTCTTTTTTTTTTTTTTTTAATTAGAAATTTCACCTTCACAGTTTTTGTGCAGAAGATTCTATTTTCTAATCATTTTTTAGACCCGAAATATTTAATAGAGTGTAGCTTCAATCATCTCATTAGAAATCCCATTGATGTTTGAGAAGCTTATCCAGGCTATCTGTCCCATTGCCTCACTATCAATGTACCAAAAAAGTTGAAACAGAGCAGGTGCCTGTGTGTGGAAGCCCAAGATGTTTGCCGCCCTTCTCAGTTCCAGACAGCATATGGAATCCCCAGACACATTTTTAAAGTCACATTTTAAACACACATTCCTCAAAAGTAGACTAAAATAAATGGTGTGTACTTAGAGTACCTGAGACTACATCATCTGAAACATGAGTGAGAAACCTGTGGTTAGACAATGGCAAATGATTGTAAGACAAATATGGAATAGTGTTTCTTTGTTATATTTTGTATCGAAAAAAATGCATGTCTTTCCTCCTTTTTTGCAAGGCAAGATGCTTCATCCAGCATTTACCAAAGTGTGTTCTGAAAACTATCATTTTTTCTGGATGAAAATCAGAATCCACACTTTCAGTTTCATGGCCAAGTAAGTTTGGGAAGCACTGTTAACACAAAGCCAATCGCATTTATGCACTGCTGAAATTCTCAAGACTTTAATAAGCCAACAGGCTCTGTGAATTCCTCAGTTGGGGGAGGTAGCTCATACACAGCCTTCTTTTTCTATGGGGTCATTTTTAGGGCCAGTGAAACCACTTTGAAAACTGTGGACCAGCTCATTGGAAAGCCACTTATTAAGAGTGACTCATCCAGACAGATTACAGAATGAAGACAACTAACAGAAGAGCCACATTTGCACATGGAAAACACTAAATCAACACCAATGGGGCTCTTCGTGGCAAAGTCTAAAAGTGATTTTGGTCTAAATTAAATGGTTTCCAAAAACTTATCTAGAACAAATGCCTCTTGAATATGAAATGCTGGTTTTGTATTTGTAACAACTCCCTAGAAAATCAAGCTTTTAATCTAAAACTTATATAATTGGTCTGAAGAACTTCCTGTCTCCACCTTAAGAGATTCAGGAAACACAAAAGATGGCTTGAGTATATTTCCAGACAGTGACATCAGAAGACAGGAATTAGCATGATGTTAGGTGGCTGTATTTAGGAATTATCTCTACGTAGAAGTCAGTCCCTCTTCATGAAAGCCCCTAACATTTCCAGCACTCCATGCTGGTGCATATACCTTCAGGGCTGAGATGTGGGATTTTTCTAAGTATCTCCTGGCGCTTGGCTAGAAAGACTTTTCCACAGGTACTGTCTGCCAGCCTGGGCTCAAGATTCACCTGCTGGGAAATTGCCAAGCACAGCTTTAGGCCTCGAAGGAGAATAACTTGATGGTGTCAAAAGACAAATGAAGCAGAAGTTCATTAAGAAATTGCAATGATGAATTTGTGTCCTCTGTAGGGACATGGATGAACCTGGAAACCATCATTCTCAGCAAACTGACACAATAACAGGAAATCAAACATCACATGTTCTCACTCACTCATAGGTGGGTGTTGAACAACGAGAGCACATTGACACAGGGAGGGGAGCATCACTCACTGGAGTCTGTCGGGGAGAAATAGGGGAGGGATAGTGGGGGCAGGGAGTTGGGGAAAGATAGCATGGGGAGAAATGCCAGATATAGGTGATGGGGAGGAATGCAGCAAATCACACTGCCATGTGTGTACCTATGCAACAGTCTAGCATGTTCTTCACATGTACCACAAAACATAAAATGCAATAAAAGAAAGGACTGAAAAAAAAAAAAAAGAAATTGCAATGCAAAAGCAATGATAATTAAAAAGCATTCAGAAAATCTGGCAAATGAGCTTTTCAAACTAATACAGGAGGGAGAATTCCACAGGCATCGTCTTTGCCCATCTCTAAGGATGGGATTTTGAGAGGCAAAACCCAACTACTGGGTTTAAAGAAAGAGGGATAATTTCAGCCAGGGGCATGAAGGGAGACTGAGGAGCCCTCTCTGTGGGACCTTTAGCAAGAAGCCTCAGATAAAGACAATGTTCCCCGTGAGATAGTTTTAAAGGCCTTGGGTGCACAACCAGAAATTCACTGGAGGACAGGCCAGGAAAATTTCAAAAGGTTGAAAACATTTTCAACCTCTCTAATTTCTCATTATAGTTTTCTATTTTTTCCCCTTGAAGATCATAAAGCATAATGTAAAAACAAGGTAAATTGTAGCAAAGCATGATCTAGGTATGTAACTCATTCCTATAATATACAAGACTTTTAGACTTCTTTGAAATAGGCCTTTCACTTTATTGTGGGGAAAATTAAGGTAATATAGAAACTAGCCTTTACAGTTTTCAATTTGTGACCATTTCCAATCATCATATCTGAATAATGTCATTCTTAAAACCACTTAGGTTTTGTCTTATGCTTTTCCAGATGTTAGTGATACAAAAGATTGCAAGTACTACATTTTAATTCTGAATCACCAGAAAGAATATTTTGGCTATGATATAATCACCATCATCATTATTATTATTTTAATTTAAGAACACTGGTTCCAAGGGAGAGTAAGAGAAGGGGAAGGTATTCAATATTTGGTACTGAAAATAATTGTAATAAATGCTATGGCTAAATATTAGAATTCTGTTTAATATATTTTTTAAAAATTGAGAAAACATTTTAATAATTTTGCTTATCATTTGTCATTGATCTTTCTAAATGCAAGAACTTGAAAGGCTGTTGACATTTAAGAAAAAATAATGCAAGCATGTTTAGATTTCTGTACATTTCACACTTCACCAAGTGAGTATATTTAATGTAACAACAGTTCTAGTCAAAAAATAAGGAATACTCACATTAATGGACAATTTGATTTTAAAGATAAGCATAACATAGACACATTTTGATCATTGTTTTTATATTACTAAGGAAGTCCTATACCAGACTTGTGCAGAAGACAGAGAAAGACAAGCCTAGGTTTCATCCTTCAAGGACTTTATAGCCCAGTTGAGCCTATGGGCAGTAAAACTAGTAACAAAAAGAGTAAATGCAAAAAGCCAGATGAATAATAAAGACATGATTAATTAATGAAGTTCAGTGGTAAGACAGAAAGAGAACCTTGTAGCAGTGGCACGATTTGAACCTGAAATTAAAGCATAGCTGAGATTACCTTAGTTGGAGAGGTTTTCTCCAACTAAGAGGTTCTCTCCAACTAATTGGAGAGATAATCTCTACAATTCATTGCATGTGAGGGACAGAGAGAATGGTTTGGGAAAGATTGCTGCAATAAGATATGATTACTCTAATTCTGGGCCAAATGAATAATATCATTTGTTTGAAGCCAAGAGTTTCTGTAGGTCAAGGAATGAAGAGCTGTCGAGCTAAAAAGGAAAAGTGAAGCTGGACTATGGAGGGCTTTGAGTGCCAGAGCAAATCTGAACTGTTTTCAGGAAGAGTGAGTGCTGTGTGGAGAGGGAGTTGAGGGGCAGGAGGATGCAGCCAGTAGACCACTGGTGCTAGCTGATAAGCCCCTGGACCAGTAAGCTAGGCAGTGATAGTGGGAGAATGGGGGAGAGCAGGAAGTAGAGTGTGGTGAAAAGTGAGAGTGAGAGACTGGAATCTCTGCAGACTCTTTCAGAGAATGCCAGGAGTGGTTTGCTTTTCTTTTCTCCTTTTTCCCCCTTTCAGTGCATTTTTAGTCATGAGTTGACACATTCACTGGATCTTAGGGCTAGAAGTGACATTTGATCAGGTCTTCTGTTTTTAGTGAAGTTTGTTTATTCCTGTTTTGCAGACATGGTAATTAGAAACCAGGAAGACTGAGAAAGAATCAGATGTGCAGCAGCTCAGTAAGTGGTAGACCTGGAACAAGAAGCCAGTTTTCTGAGCTCCTGAAGCAAGGCCCCGCCTCCCACTTTGTCTTTCCCCAGGAGAGGAGGTATGACAGAGTGAGCAAAGGTCTTAGGCTGATTTTTTAAACTGTGTGAATATCAGTGTCTGGTATTTTATTACAATAACTTAAAACATAAAATTAAAATCACAGCATGCTCAGCCATGTATTTCCCTTCCAATGCAATACTTTTGCATACCAAAGGATCTGAGGACAGTTTTCTATTTCAAACTTTTTTAAAAAGCCACTATATATATAGGCTCTAAATGTAGAAGTTCTAATTTTTTATAAGTGATTTTTTAAATTAAAAATGTGAAAGTAAAAAAATCAATTTTAGGAAATTAATACTTTAAATGACTTGAATTTCTCTAAGGGTTCTTTGCAATGCTTTCCCATTATTACAACCTCAATATCCTGTTTTAGCAACATTTATTTAACTAGTCACATTGTACTTTTATGAGAGAGCAATAAATGTAAAAGGCATATAAAAACCACAGCCAAATGGTTGACATCTGACCTTTAATTATCTCTCAGACTCTCCTTTAGCAGCATACCACCTCCTCTTCTACATACGCACAAACACACAGTGTGCATCCCCCCACTTCCTAATTTACCACATATCATGATGTTGCTTAAGAAAAAAATTACTTTCTTGACCATGGGCCGCCTTTTNGAAAGTACCACCAAGCCTACAGTTCTTCCTTTTGGTTGTCTTTTTTTTTTTTTTTTTAATTAGAAATTTCACCTTCACAGTTTTTGTGCAGAAGATTCTATTTTCTAATCATTTTTTAGACCCGAAATATTTAATAGAGTGTAGCTTCAATCATCTCATTAGAAATCCCATTGATGTTTGAGAAGCTTATCCAGGCTATCTGTCCCATTGCCTCACTATCAATGTACCAAAAAAGTTGAAACAGAGCAGGTGCCTGTGTGTGGAAGCCCAAGATGTTTGCCGCCCTTCTCAGTTCCAGACAGCATATGGAATCCCCAGACACATTTTTAAAGTCACATTTTAAACACACATTCCTCAAAAGTAGACTAAAATAAATGGTGTGTACTTAGAGTACCTGAGACTACATCATCTGAAACATGAGTGAGAAACCTGTGGTTAGACAATGGCAAATGATTGTAAGACAAATATGGAATAGTGTTTCTTTGTTATATTTTGTATCGAAAAAAATGCATGTCTTTCCTCCTTTTTTGCAAGGCAAGATGCTTCATCCAGCATTTACCAAAGTGTGTTCTGAAAACTATCATTTTTTCTGGATGAAAATCAGAATCCACACTTTCAGTTTCATGGCCAAGTAAGTTTGGGAAGCACTGTTAACACAAAGCCAATCGCATTTATGCACTGCTGAAATTCTCAAGACTTTAATAAGCCAACAGGCTCTGTGAATTCCTCAGTTGGGGGAGGTAGCTCATACACAGCCTTCTTTTTCTATGGGGTCATTTTTAGGGCCAGTGAAACCACTTTGAAAACTGTGGACCAGCTCATTGGAAAGCCACTTATTAAGAGTGACTCATCCAGACAGATTACAGAATGAAGACAACTAACAGAAGAGCCACATTTGCACATGGAAAACACTAAATCAACACCAATGGGGCTCTTCGTGGCAAAGTCTAAAAGTGATTTTGGTCTAAATTAAATGGTTTCCAAAAACTTATCTAGAACAAATGCCTCTTGAATATGAAATGCTGGTTTTGTATTTGTAACAACTCCCTAGAAAATCAAGCTTTTAATCTAAAACTTATATAATTGGTCTGAAGAACTTCCTGTCTCCACCTTAAGAGATTCAGGAAACACAAAAGATGGCTTGAGTATATTTCCAGACAGTGACATCAGAAGACAGGAATTAGCATGATGTTAGGTGGCTGTATTTAGGAATTATCTCTACGTAGAAGTCAGTCCCTCTTCATGAAAGCCCCTAACATTTCCAGCACTCCATGCTGGTGCATATACCTTCAGGGCTGAGATGTGGGATTTTTCTAAGTATCTCCTGGCGCTTGGCTAGAAAGACTTTTCCACAGGTACTGTCTGCCAGCCTGGGCTCAAGATTCACCTGCTGGGAAATTGCCAAGCACAGCTTTAGGCCTCGAAGGAGAATAACTTGATGGTGTCAAAAGACAAATGAAGCAGAAGTTCATTAAGAAATTGCAATGATGAATTTGTGTCCTCTGTAGGGACATGGATGAACCTGGAAACCATCATTCTCAGCAAACTGACACAATAACAGGAAATCAAACATCACATGTTCTCACTCACTCATAGGTGGGTGTTGAACAACGAGAGCACATTGACACAGGGAGGGGAGCATCACTCACTGGAGTCTGTCGGGGAGAAATAGGGGAGGGATAGTGGGGGCAGGGAGTTGGGGAAAGATAGCATGGGGAGAAATGCCAGATATAGGTGATGGGGAGGAATGCAGCAAATCACACTGCCATGTGTGTACCTATGCAACAGTCTAGCATGTTCTTCACATGTACCACAAAACATAAAATGCAATAAAAGAAAGGACTGAAAAAAAAAAAAAAGAAATTGCAATGCAAAAGCAATGATAATTAAAAAGCATTCAGAAAATCTGGCAAATGAGCTTTTCAAACTAATACAGGAGGGAGAATTCCACAGGCATCGTCTTTGCCCATCTCTAAGGATGGGATTTTGAGAGGCAAAACCCAACTACTGGGTTTAAAGAAAGAGGGATAATTTCAGCCAGGGGCATGAAGGGAGACTGAGGAGCCCTCTCTGTGGGACCTTTAGCAAGAAGCCTCAGATAAAGACAATGTTCCCCGTGAGATAGTTTTAAAGGCCTTGGGTGCACAACCAGAAATTCACTGGAGGACAGGCCAGGAAAATTTCAAAAGGTTGAAAACATTTTCAACCTCTCTAATTTCTCATTATAGTTTTCTATTTTTTCCCCTTGAAGATCATAAAGCATAATGTAAAAACAAGGTAAATTGTAGCAAAGCATGATCTAGGTATGTAACTCATTCCTATAATATACAAGACTTTTAGACTTCTTTGAAATAGGCCTTTCACTTTATTGTGGGGAAAATTAAGGTAATATAGAAACTAGCCTTTACAGTTTTCAATTTGTGACCATTTCCAATCATCATATCTGAATAATGTCATTCTTAAAACCACTTAGGTTTTGTCTTATGCTTTTCCAGATGTTAGTGATACAAAAGATTGCAAGTACTACATTTTAATTCTGAATCACCAGAAAGAATATTTTGGCTATGATATAATCACCATCATCATTATTATTATTTTAATTTAAGAACACTGGTTCCAAGGGAGAGTAAGAGAAGGGGAAGGTATTCAATATTTGGTACTGAAAATAATTGTAATAAATGCTATGGCTAAATATTAGAATTCTGTTTAATATATTTTTTAAAAATTGAGAAAACATTTTAATAATTTTGCTTATCATTTGTCATTGATCTTTCTAAATGCAAGAACTTGAAAGGCTGTTGACATTTAAGAAAAAATAATGCAAGCATGTTTAGATTTCTGTACATTTCACACTTCACCAAGTGAGTATATTTAATGTAACAACAGTTCTAGTCAAAAAATAAGGAATACTCACATTAATGGACAATTTGATTTTAAAGATAAGCATAACATAGACACATTTTGATCATTGTTTTTATATTACTAAGGAAGTCCTATACCAGACTTGTGCAGAAGACAGAGAAAGACAAGCCTAGGTTTCATCCTTCAAGGACTTTATAGCCCAGTTGAGCCTATGGGCAGTAAAACTAGTAACAAAAAGAGTAAATGCAAAAAGCCAGATGAATAATAAAGACATGATTAATTAATGAAGTTCAGTGGTAAGACAGAAAGAGAACCTTGTAGCAGTGGCACGATTTGAACCTGAAATTAAAGCATAGCTGAGATTACCTTAGTTGGAGAGGTTTTCTCCAACTAAGAGGTTCTCTCCAACTAATTGGAGAGATAATCTCTACAATTCATTGCATGTGAGGGACAGAGAGAATGGTTTGGGAAAGATTGCTGCAATAAGATATGATTACTCTAATTCTGGGCCAAATGAATAATATCATTTGTTTGAAGCCAAGAGTTTCTGTAGGTCAAGGAATGAAGAGCTGTCGAGCTAAAAAGGAAAAGTGAAGCTGGACTATGGAGGGCTTTGAGTGCCAGAGCAAATCTGAACTGTTTTCAGGAAGAGTGAGTGCTGTGTGGAGAGGGAGTTGAGGGGCAGGAGGATGCAGCCAGTAGACCACTGGTGCTAGCTGATAAGCCCCTGGACCAGTAAGCTAGGCAGTGATAGTGGGAGAATGGGGGAGAGCAGGAAGTAGAGTGTGGTGAAAAGTGAGAGTGAGAGACTGGAATCTCTGCAGACTCTTTCAGAGAATGCCAGGAGTGGTTTGCTTTTCTTTTCTCCTTTTTCCCCCTTTCAGTGCATTTTTAGTCATGAGTTGACACATTCACTGGATCTTAGGGCTAGAAGTGACATTTGATCAGGTCTTCTGTTTTTAGTGAAGTTTGTTTATTCCTGTTTTGCAGACATGGTAATTAGAAACCAGGAAGACTGAGAAAGAATCAGATGTGCAGCAGCTCAGTAAGTGGTAGACCTGGAACAAGAAGCCAGTTTTCTGAGCTCCTGAAGCAAGGCCCCGCCTCCCACTTTGTCTTTCCCCAGGAGAGGAGGTATGACAGAGTGAGCAAAGGTCTTAGGCTGATTTTTTAAACTGTGTGAATATCAGTGTCTGGTATTTTATTACAATAACTTAAAACATAAAATTAAAATCACAGCATGCTCAGCCATGTATTTCCCTTCCAATGCAATACTTTTGCATACCAAAGGATCTGAGGACAGTTTTCTATTTCAAACTTTTTTAAAAAGCCACTATATATATAGGCTCTAAATGTAGAAGTTCTAATTTTTTATAAGTGATTTTTTAAATTAAAAATGTGAAAGTAAAAAAATCAATTTTAGGAAATTAATACTTTAAATGACTTGAATTTCTCTAAGGGTTCTTTGCAATGCTTTCCCATTATTACAACCTCAATATCCTGTTTTAGCAACATTT